TGCCTCTCTGGATCGAAGGGAATATATTGAGGTTGAGGAGGGACTCCTTGAAACCGAGGAGGTACTTGCTGATGTTGGTGTCCAGGAGGCATCATTCCGTGAGGATGATGACCGTACGGATAGTTCGGATGATGATGATAGTTTGGGTCCACATAGGATTGGTGCATTGGTCCATGGTAACCTGGACCTGCTGATGGAAGGACTTGTTCGCCGGACCGGTCAATCCCCTGTGGGGTGAAAACTGGAGCGTTGGTGTTCCACGCGGTAGTTGAGCTGGATTTCGTCTGATGAGAGCCTAAAATAAAACATTGCGTCATAAAAAAGACGGAAACTAATGTTGAAATTTTAAACCGTAAACACTCTCATTGAAGGCCCCCCAAACCTTCAATTTCAAGCTAATATATCTCAGCTACTGTATAAGACATGAAAAAGTGGTCAACTGTCAGAATAATTTCAATTTTATGATAAACATTTCATTAGTGTACAACTTTTTAATATCTCTTACAGGAACAGAGATTTACTGGCTCAACGTTGGAGGCTTGTGTGGCCTTCTATTAGAGAGTTAACGGAAAATACCGCACTTTCTATCTCAAAACACTATTGACAGGCTGATTAACCTTAACCAACTATGCTGGGTGAAAGAGCTTTTTCAAAACCTACAAACCTTTTTTCAAAATGTGCTTAAGAAACTTCTATAGTTCAAAAGTTTCGATTGCAAAAAATCACGCTTTCAGTAAAATAATCGGCAATTTTCAACTATGGTTTTCCCATTACTAGAAGGTTTCCGAACACGAAACCTAATGTGGAAGTATGTGGTATTTCATATTTCAATGTTTTTCTCAAAACAATTTGTTTGGAAAAGTTTTGGAGAACTTAAAAATTATACTACCCTTTAGGTGAGACGAATTTCAAAAAATTGGCTAATTGCATCTGAAAATTTCCTATTTTGCACTGAAAAAGCGAATGCTATTACGTTGGAAGGAAAGTAACTGTCCATTTTTTAATTCGTGAATAACAGAAAAACAAGGATTCTCCAAGGATGACCGTATGCACCGTCGTGGTCCACGACATGCTGAAAACATTCAGGCAACCTGTGGATACCATACCTCCTAAATCCCGCTGGCAGCGACTCAAAATATTTTTTCAGTTCAGATTTTATCTCATCTACAGTGTTATCCTAATAACCAATAATGAAAGAACCAAATCAGGAGTTTGAGGGGGCGTAAAGAAGAACCAGCTAAAAAGCGGCCCAGGTGTTACTTGATTTCCCGTGGAACATCCATTTATTCGAGAGAATGTAACTGGCTTTTGGAAAGATGGTATGCACAAGTTACATGGATG